AGCCACATGAAGCAGAAGCCTGCACAACAGTTGCATTAAGGTTAGTCTGAGCCACCTCGGTAGTCAAATGTACCAAGGGATATTCTCTTGCTAGGATTGATCACCCGGATCAGAGAGTAGCCACATGAAGCAGAAGCCTGCACAACAGTTGCATTAAGGTTAGTCTGAGCCACCTCGGTAGTCAACTGTACCAAGGGATATTCTCTAGCTAGGATTGATCACCCGGATCAGAGAGTAGCCACATGAAGCAGAAGCCTGCACAACAGTTGCATTAAGGTTAAGGTATAAACATCAATTACAATCTTTTACCCCTAAATGTGACCTAATGATACCATATAATTATAAAATAATCAATATTAATCAAATAGAGTTCGTTGGGTGTCTAATCCAAGGATTTATAATGGCGTTTCCTACGTTTTCCAATAGCTTAAAAAAAATGATGAATTTTGTGCGTGCTCTAGCGTCAGTTTGGAACATTGTAGAAATAAAGTTGTTATACGTATATTGTAGGGAATTTAGTGTACATTAATTTAGTAAATGACAGTTATTGCAAAAAATACTCCGTTTGTGAGTTATACGTAAAAAAGTAAAACAAGTACAGTATTTTATTTGTGTTTCGTGATTTCTGAAGTTAGCTCACCTCTGGCGAGGATTCAGCGTCAAAAAATACATAAGAAACCACTGAGAAAAAGACTTCGGGAATTTTTTCCTGAAAACATAATCTTTTTCCTCATATGCCTGGACTAATAGTTTAGTCTATACTAAGCCGATTAGGGGCTTCAAAATAGAATTTAATTCAAATTTGTGTTGAATAATGTTTTTCGACAAAACACCACATTGTAAAACTTAATCTAGTACCAAATAACTGTTCCTGAACAATTGAGACAATATTTTCGTTGCAGTTACACCCTAAACAGCTATATTGGTTGCATCGTAATGCAACCAATATACTGTTGCAGTAGTCTATGGCGACTGTGGTTGTTGTGTAGTTAAGCAATGCGGCTACACTCGGACAGCTCAGACTAACCTTAATGCAACTATTGTCCAGGCTTCTGCTTCATGTTGCTACTCTCTGATCCGGGTGATCAATCCTAGCAAGAGAATATCCCTTGGTACAGTTGACTACCGAGGTGGCTCAGACTAACCTTAATGCAATTGTTGTCCCGGCTTCTGCTTCATGTGGCTACTCTCTGATCCGGGTGATCAATCCTAGCTAGAGAATATCCCTTGGTACAGTTGACTACCGAGGTGGCTCAGACTAACCTTAATGCAATTGTTGTCCCGGCTTCTGCTTCATGTGGCTACTCTCTGATCCGGGTGATCAATCCTAGCAAGAGAATATCCCTTGGTACAGTTGACTACCGAGGTGGCTCAGACCAACCTTAATGCAACTGTTGTGCAGGCTTCTGCTTCATGTGGCTACTCTCTGATCCGGGTGATCAATCCTAGCAAGAGAATATCCCTTGGTACAGTTGACTACCGAGGTGGCTCAGACCAACCTTAATGCAACTGTTGTGCAGGCTTCTGCTTCATGTGGCTACTCTCTGATCCGGGTGATCAATCCTAGCAAGAGAATATCCCTTGGTACAGTTGACTACCGAGGTGGCTCAGACCAACCTTAATGCAACTGTTGTGCAGGCTTCTGCTTCATGTGGCTACTCTCTGATCCGGGTGATCAATCCTAGCAAGAGAATATCCCTTGGTACAGTTGACTACCGAGGTGGCTCAGACCAACCTTAATGCAACTGTTGTGCAGGCTTCTGCTTCATGTGGCTACTCTCTGATCCGGGTGATCAATCCTAGCAAGAGAATATCCCTTGGTACAGTTGACTACCGAGGTGGCTCAGACCAACCTTAATGCAACTGTTGTCCCGGCTTCTGCTTCATGTGGCTACTCTCTGATCCGGGTGATCAATCCTAGCAAGAGAATATCCCTTGGTACAGTTGACTACCGAGGTGGCTCAGACTAACCTTAATGCAACTGTTGTCCCGGCTTCTGCTTCATGTGGCTACTCTCTGATCCGGGTGATCAATCCTAGCTAGAGAATATCCCTTGGTACAGTTGACTACCGAGGTGGCTCAGACTAACCTTAATGCAACTGTTGTCCCGGCTTCTGCTTCATGTGGCTACTCTCTGATCCGGGTGATCAATCCTAGCAAGAGAATATCCCTTGGTACAGTTGACTACCGAGGTGGCTCAGACCAACCTTAATGCAACTGTTGTCCCGGCTTCTGCTTCATGTGGCTACTCTCTGATCCGGGTGATCAATCCTAGCTAGAGAATATCCCTTGGTACAGTTGACTACCGAGGTGGCTCAGACCAACCTTAATGCAACTGTTGTGCAGGCTTCTGCTTCATGTGGCTACTCTCTGATCCGGGTGATCAATCCTAGCAAGAGAATATCCCTTGGTACAGTTGACTACCGAGGTGGCTCAGACCAACCTTAATGCAACTGTTGTGCAGGCTTCTGCTTCATGTGGCTACTCTCTGATCCGGGTGATCAATCCTAGCAAGAGAATATCCCTTGGTACAGTTGACTACCGAGGTGGCTCAGACCAACCTTAATGCAACTGTTGTGCAGGCTTCTGCTTCATGTGGCTACTCTCTGATCCGGGTGATCAATCCTAGCAAGAGAATATCCCTTGGTACAGTTGACTACCGAGGTGGCTCAGACCAACCTTAATGCAACTGTTGTCCCGGCTTCTGCTTCATGTGGCTACTCTCTGATCCGGGTTATCAATCCTAGCAAGAGAATATCCCTTGGTACAGTTGACTACCGAGGTGCCTAAAATCTAGACGACAATTCGTCCATATTTTCTGGGTACAAACACATTTAAATATAGCTTGACCTAATACTGTAGTTAGGTTTAATATTCAAAGAAAAACATAAAAAGAAAATGTAGTGTACAGCATATTGTAAAAAAAGTGTAAAGCAGTTTAAATTGAAGTGAATATTTTAACCGGATAAATATAGTCATTTCTTACAGACAATCGCAAATGACTCTTTAAAACAATTATTTGAATACCTTTTCCGAGAATAAAGGTTTCAGTTAACATTTACCAATATCGTCGAATTGCTAAGCTCCTTACAATCCCTATATTGGTTTCCTTTTCAGTAGTTGTAAAAGTGTTCCTGTTATGTTATGTTTTGCAGCAGTTCCTGTTACTGTGTAAAAGTAATAAACTATTATTATTAAGCTTGAAAATCAAGTTTCGTAAAAATAGATATATTGCTGGAAACACCTAGCAGAAAGATACATCTGTTACCTATAACGCTCTATTTTCGCACCGATTACACCTAAAATAGCAGATTCATGCCCGTCCAAATTTTCCCAATTTTTTTACCCCTTTTTTTACTTATTTACTCTCACTGATTTTAAAACCAAAAATATTAAGCTCGTGACGGCAACGCAAGGTCATGAAAACAAGTTAGCAAAACAACTATGGCTATATGAATACTTAACAGTAGATCAGCTGTTTGTTATTGCGGTACATAGTTTACTGTTGTCACCGGCTAAAACTAAGTCATTTAAATAGTAATTTTTTTGTAATGGCATATTACGTGCTATGGGGGACAGTACGTAAACGTGTAATTAGTAATATTATTCGTGCTTAAAGTATGTTAGCTGCACACGACAGACTATTCAATGACTTGTGATTAAGCCTTGTGTCTGTTGAACGCAGCAAAATTCCACGAAAATACTGATATACAAACTGAGCCAGTAAAATAAAAACTCTCATCAGTTTTGTTCTGTTTTCGAAACATGCAGTTTCAGAATTCGACTAAGTAATTAAATGTTGTATCTGCAACCGAATTGTCGGTTAAGCCAACAGGTTTATTATTGGTTATTGCAATGAGCAGGTTATTAATTAAAGACATAGTTTGATGGATAATTGTATAAACCTTGGAAATAAATTAAATTGCCGGAAATAACTGCATCCAAAACTGTCAAGACCCGTAAACCGAGTGGTAAAAACGACAATTTTCTTGACTGGATATTCCACAATCAGTGCCCTCATCCAAAACACTTTACTAGTATTTAATTATTTAATTTCTAAGTTACTGGATACTGTAATAATGTCATTATAAAAAGTTTGAAGTATTTTATCTACTTTGGAAGATTATATACTTTGAATGGTGTGTATAAAAGAGCAGATAAATGCATCCTTTCAATATCCGACTACAGCCTGAGGCTTATAATGTCAAGCTGAGAACATGAAACTGAATGCCATCCGTTCGTCAGAGATGAATCTATAAGTATATATTTTTCTGAAATATATTGTTATCATATTTAAATAACTTAAACAGGCAAATAAAAACACTGTTCTCTGTAATGTTTAACTTATTATAATAATGTATACGGTTAAATATGGACTTTATCGCCATAGTACTTTTAACTAATATAGTTAATGCAAACTTATAATATTACCTCCACAAATGTTTTTTTCTTGTCCTTCGATAGGGCAACGGTACGTCATTGTGTGATTATATTTATTATCTAGCACGCAATAATAGCAATTTAATCGCCTTGAACCACATAAGTAATCTGATTTAAAATTACACATTTTAACGCCCAACAACAGATTTGTAACTTTTGTTCCAGGGAGTAACTAGTTTTACACATCAGTATTATATCCTGTAAGATTACCTTTCGCAAATGCTAGGGTTCCATTAGATCAATTAATTGCCAATGCTATTAACCCATTTGCTCAACCCATTTGCAGTAAAGATGATTGATTGAACACGTTGACGCCACCCTTAAACGTTTACTTCAATTCAATACCTCTTTAGTATCTTATCGATTTAAGTTTTATCTGATGATACGTGCAATTTCAATACCTAATAGCTTAGTTTAAATATAATTATGTTATGTTTTATTTTAAAATAAAATTCCGTGAATTCTTAGGTGAAAACAATATTGACAACTAGTTGGTTTTCAACATACCGTTCTTTTATTAAATGGATCTTTACTTATGTTTTATTTTATTTAACTTTATATTATCCGAGGTAGTCTACGATGGAGTTCATTTCATTGCTGTCATCCTCTTCGTCCTTCTTGGCAATCTTGGGACAGTTGTACATGGTGTTTAGTTTAGCAATGTCTTTGTCACTGAGGGTCTTCCGTTGTCCGATCTTGGCCTTCTTGTCCTGAAACGAGAGGATCAGTTACTGGGAGTTGGGAGTGTCACCGTCGGACAACCACGGGGCGAGGAAGCCGAGGGGAACCAGGGGGGCTAGGGGGGACTGGCTGCCCCCGGGGATTTGTGACTCCCCCCGACATGGATACATGATTCGCAGCTTGGCGATATCTTTCTGGCTCAACTGCTCGGATTGGCGTAGAGTAACATTTGCCACCTGTAATTACTTATCATTACTTACTGACTTTCCCTAAAGTAGACATCAACAGTTAAGTCAACAAATAAGTGATAAATGACATACAGTTAATTTCAAAAAAAAAAAACAAAAAAAAAACGTTACATTCTTTATGTACGCAGGTAGATGTAGTTAGTTAAGGAGCAATACCAGTTTTATTGTGTATTCATACAGGTCAGGGTGTGTTTGGTGACTAATCGGAATGGATATCCAATTTCCATAATTACACAAACACCGGCATGCGAAATCATATACAGGGTGATCAACTCAAGGAGGCCACCATTGGGATATCGGAAACGGTAAGAATTAGAGAAAACTTTAAATGGGGGACATTCCTTTATTTTTTGTGGCAGTTAAAAATATGATTTTATTTTTTCGAAATTCAGCCGCCATTTTCCAAAATGGCGGCCAACTTTGAAATTTCTTATGGAACACCCTATATTTTATCATGTTTTCGGATAGAACAGGCAATTTAAAAACTTTTTTATTCTTGACATTTTTTCGATAAACCCACTCGTTTAGGAGTTACAGCCTATGGAAAAATGACTTCCGGTGTAAATTTTACATCATGTAGCTCCTAAACAAGTAGGTTTATAGCGAAAATGCGAAGAGTAAATAAGTCAAAGAAGTCTTAATATTGCATCCACATACCATAAAGACCATAAAATTCGTTTAAAACTATTAATTCTATTATTTCAAAATGGCGGCCATTTTTCAAAATGGCGGCAAACTTGAAAAGTGGAAAAATGTGTATTTTATGGTCTTTTTGGTATGTGGATGCAATATTAAGACTTCTTTGACTTATTTACACTTCGCATTTTCGCTATAAACCTACTTGTTTAGGAGCTACATGATGTAAAATTTACACCGGAAGTCATTTTTCCATAGGCTGTAACTCCTAAACGAGTGGGTTTATCGAAAAAATGTCAAGAATAAAAATGTTTTTAAATTGCCTGTTCTATCCGAAAACATGATAAAATATAGGGTGTTCCATAAGAAATTTCAAAGTTGGCCGCCATTTTGGAAAATGGCGGCTGAATTTCGAAAAAATAAAATCATATTTTTAACTGCCACAAAAAATAAAGGAATGTCCCCCATTTAAAGTTTTCTCTAATTCTTACTGTTTCCGATATCCCAATGGTGGCCTCCTTGAGTTGATCACCCTGTAGATTGGTAAAATAATAACCAAGACTACCTCCATTAACCTCCATTAACTATGGGATACTGTATTCAACAAGAAAAGTGAGGTGTATTTTAAGCTAATCGTAATCAAACACATTCTAGTAACGCTTAAGACTAATGTGAACAGAATATAAATACAAAGGAAAATTTTCATTGAATATAAGATCAATATGTTTCCAAGATCAGTTTAATAATAAACTACACATTATCAAATGGAAAAATGGTATATGAAAAGCTGATGTTATTGTTTAATTTAGATACTTTAGCATGAGGTTAACAGTAGTTTGAAAGAACAAGTTATGAAAAGTTTCATACCAACATAAGTTTGCTAAGAAGCCGAAAAAGTTTCACGTGGTGTTAAATTTACAGTAAACAGGATGTGAGAACTCTTTTCGAGAGGTTGGGCAACTAATCAACCCACTGAGGGAAGTTTTCCTTTGTTGTTTGTTCTTTTTCATTTCAGTTTTCAAACAGGTAATGTACACAAGAGAACCCTTAGGGAATTCTATTTACTTAAATTACATCTTTCATTCAGCCTACTATGTCCAGCTCCATAATAAGACTTATAAATGTAACAAATAAAAATAAAATCTTATCAAATAACAAATATCAAATAAATAAATATCAAATATCAAATATAAAGCTCGTATGGTCTGTCAGTTCTGTAACACATCGTAAATAGTTAAAAACTTTGAGTGATTGTTGTTTTTAATATAAGCCGAAATGTACATAGACAATAACACGATTTCATCAAACTACAAAATATCACAAGCGTTAACCGATAACAGTAAAGAATCCAAGGAATATATTTAAACTTACAATCGTATATAAAACATATTTAATTTAAAATGGAAATAACTAAAGCAAATCTGGATTAACTGATATTTTCTAGGCCAAACATACACTGAACGTAATTAATTCATGTACGTGTTTTGCGACTATTGCATCGTAGCAATATGCTCTATATAAGTGCACCTGCACCAACTGTTCAACTGTTTAACTACTTCAGCTGTTGGAATTACCTTTACAAACTGGAGCATTTATTTAGATCAATGTTTATTATATTAAAGGGGTATGTTGATCTTTTAGGACGGGGATTTTATCCCATAAACTCTTGTTCTCCAGTATTTATCACATACCATCACAGTTTATTTTTATTTTTGCAAACATACCAACAAAGCCAATAAGCTAAACTCTCAGATACTCACCTATCTACCTTAAATACCCTCAGGTTGTCGCATAGTTTTACCTCCTGGTCAGTGCGTATTTATCGATGCATAGTTTAAAGTGTACTAGATTAAAACTAAGTTGGATTACTGTTTTAATAAACTAGTACATAATCAAAGACTTATTGAAGACAACCACTACGTTATACAAGGAACCTGAAATACAGAAGACGCTATGTTTTGTAGGCTACGAGTATGGATTGAACAATCAAAGTTTGGCGTTGCATGCCGGGACTTTTACATTACTTTGTAAATTGCAACAGCAGATTACAACAACATGCACATGAGGTAAACTAGGTTCAAACCATGTGCCATGATTTTGAATTTACATGAAATCGTATATTCAATGTAACTTACGTCAAACACATCGCCGATTCAATTAAATGTCATAATTAATTATTGAAGTGTAAACAAGTTGGAATATATTGGGATTGACGCATAATAAGCCACGCGACTCTTTGTAACGTGAACCAGATATCTTAAGAGACTTCTAGATCTACGGGTATGATGTAAAATTTTAAATTTGACGTAATGTTAAATGAGTGGAATTATGTGTTTACAATTAATTGTTACGAGCACAAGTATGAACTTATTTTAAAGTAGGTCAATGTAATGATAGTTAAAGTCCATAAGGAAGGTTTTCTTTAACATAGTCACCTAGTTTTAGACAGCAAATACCGTTTGTTGACAGTAGAAAAATTACTTTTTGAAACATTAGACATGCATACAGGGTTGTTGGACAATTTCTTGCAAAAGGGCCTTTATTTATTAAGACCTAAGGAAATTTGTGACTTATATGTATGATGGCACTCGCTTTTGAGATTTAAAACATCCTTACTAATTCTTGCTTTTAACACACTTTTGCGTGCCAATGTAGAATCCATAAACTTTAGGATATGAGAGTGCTACTGAGGCTTCAGCCACCCTTATTACGGCCTTTAACTGAGCGGAAAAAATATTTAGGTAATTTCATAAATTTTATGTTCGAAATGATGACTATATCTTGTGAATCGACTGTTCAGAGTACGTACGCAGTATTTAACGGTTATACACGGACTGTATACAAAAACCCAGCCTACCTTGGGTGTTATGGTCATCTGGTCGTTGCGAGAGAAGGCGTAGGCGCTGTAGTGCATGATGCTCTCATAGTCGTAGCCCACCCCATGGTCAGTCACAGTGCTGCTGTTGTACTTGTCAAAGTTGTGTTTATGATCTGTGGATGATATAAGGTTTTAGGTTATGTACAAAACAAACAATACCTATTGATCGTTATTTAAGTGGTAACTAATGTTTGCTAATAACTATGAAGCGTCTTTTGTTTCAAACATGTTTCTAATGAAAAGGTGATGTTGTTGATGTACTTGGTGACGTCATACACACCAGACTCGATGTTGTCCCAGTGGATGGTGACGTAGTCATCTCTATCGTGAGAGCTCTGCTGGTGGTGGAGTCCTAGCGCATGTAGAAACTCGTGCACAGCAACTCCGTGACGGACACACCTGGAATGTGTGTAATAACTACTGTAATTGAACTGTATCTGTTGTGTGTGCTACTGTTGAATAATGTATGTTTTTCTAAATGATAGTTTCAGATAGTCTTTAAGCTGGATTTTATAAAAAGTTGTACCGATGATATATTAACTTTTACTACTAGTACCGAAAATGGCATTTTCCCAGTGCTCGCTCAAGTTAAGTGTGAGGTAAAGCTATATATCAAAGTAAATGTTAGAAGTTAAAGTTTATTGTGCAGTAAGCACGCACTATTTGCTCAAGATACAACAAAACTATATTTTGCCTATTTCTGTTCAGAACCAATTGTGCTATTGAAAATAAAAAAAGCTAATTTATACATGGAAATTATTGGTAAATAAACACGGGTGTGTGTAGTAGGTAAAAGTAGAACTCATTGCGAGAAGGGGTAAATCAGCTGATCGTTTCCCCTTGCTCCAAGTTAGAGCCAGGAAAACAATTACTTGCATCGATATAAGCTATCGAAAATGGCTACTTTCTGTACGGAGTGATAACAAATTTTAAAGTGAATCACCAAAAGAATAAAAACAGAATCAAATTTACAGTTAAGAATAAAAAAAATAAAACATCCTAAGAGGAATTTCTTGTTTTGTTTTAAAAGAACACTTCAATATGGATTATACGGATGACACATATGTAACTGATAAAGCTACACTCGAAACTGTGGCTAGAGTATATGAATTCATTAAATCAGTTACATGTATATACTAATCAACGTATAGGTGATAACTGATCGTAGCTTTAAAGGTACTAAAATATCGTTAAGTATTTGTATATTTATAAATGATCATTTAAATATAAAATTAAAAAAATCCAATTTTACTTTTGTCAGGCAAGATGGTTATATAAATCCACTGATCCATAAGCAAGTATCTCACTCCAGCAAAGTATTAGGTTACTCTTGGTTAAACAACATACAAGCTGAACCAATCCTGTTTCTGTAGAACTTGTAACGGCTCTGGGCGGATGACCGGCGATATCCGTCTTCACTCAACTGTAAGCTTTACATCCCAACTTGTAATTAATGTGTTTCCGAACACAAGATTCAAACCTCAGGGCATGGCGATGTTAATAATTCGAATGTAAATCTTCTCGTGTAAAAATTTTAATATATGAATACATTAAAAGTAAAAATAAATTATTTATCTAACAATTAATTAATTATTGGTTTTTTAAATGTCGGTATTGAAGGTTTTTATGTATGATAAATAAAAAAGAAAATAGTAATAAAAATGAAAAAATCTTGTAATAGCCTATGTAATTGTTATGTTTTACAGATAATTTATTACAAAGTCAAGCATCTAATTCAAGTAGCAACTGAGCTGCAGTATGCTCAATTAAACGAATAATAAAATTTTTGGACGATTAAAAATACAACAAAGATACTTATTAACAGATTGAACGTTTTATAAGTTTTTACAAATTTTCAGGCTATATACCACAGTCTTCAAAATACTACTGAACATTTTTTCGGAGTTTGACTATTTTAATGCCATTTAGCTCGTAAGCATTATCTTACTGACCTCAACATTTCATAAATTTATCACACCAATCTCTGGGTTGGTAACGATATTATGAAAGCAAACACTATGCATTCGAGCATCTCATATTTTTTCTAAACCTAAAGTAATATTTTTATCACAAGCATGCACTTGACAGCTCACTTCTCACTAAGGTTGAGTGTCTGTCCTCCGTCCTTCCTGCCCACGTAGGACCAGCAGCCGTCCCTGTCACCCCTCACCACCACGTAGGCGTCATCCCCGTCCTTGTAGGGGCGGAACTGTATACACGTCTCTGACTCTATGTTCTTCACCGCTCCTCTAATGATCTTCCTATCTTCTTTATCTGGAGGAATTTCAAAATATAGTTTGTATTGTTTCAAAATTTATAGAAAATTAACACACTTAGTTGTTTGGAGTTTTTTGGTAATGGTAAGTTAAGGAGATAAGGCCAAAGGATTATTTAGACAATTTCACATCTCAATTACATATACTCATAGGTTGCCACTTCAAAATTTAAACCTCAATCACGTAAAAGTGATTCAGAAATAAAAAAAATGTGTATACCACATTTACTAGCGCAAATTTGTTTCATACAATTACTGTTTGGACAGGAAGGTATGCACGCTTACCAAAGTCGTCAGTGTCTATGTAGTATGGCACCACCGCCCCGGGCCAGAGCTTTGCCTTGTCTTGCACCGCGTTCCTCCCTTCACCATCACCCTCCATCATGATGTCTCCCTCGTACTGACCACTCAACTCCCAGATGTTCACCCGAGACTTGCTGGACCATGAGGAAAACGCCTGAGCTGCAACAAGAAATAGCCCACTTGACCGTAATGGTAAACAGGTGTAATTTATAATTTTGTAAATGTTTTACTATCCAACAAAAAATGCATAAACAACTCTTCTAAATGTAATTATAAACGGGAAAAAACTTGCTATCCGACGTCTATACAAACTAGGGATCAACAATTTTTAGTTAATAAAACTAACGTATAAAATTTAACCCAATCATTACCGATATTATAACATAAAAATAACCTCATTATTGAGGGGTAGTTCTTTCAAATAATTTGTGTACTAAATCATACGTAAACCTTTTCTACGTAATAGTCGAAGCTCTAAGCTAAGTGCTGTAAGTGCTAAGCTCTAAGTGTTCTAAGCTGTAGCTTGTGAAAAATGCAAATCGTACAAATAGCGTAAGTAACTGTGCAATACTTAGTATTGCAATTAAGGTATTAGACGATCAACTATGATAATTGTAAAGTCCCTAATTGAGCCTAGGTTTAAATTTGAGCGGGGATCGCTGATACGGGAAGTGGCCACCCGCTGCACACGAACATCGGAAAGTACGTGCACTAAAACCAATGTAGCTACTATAAAATAATATCACCTGACTATACTACTGGACCAAATTACACGCGGTTGGTACTAAATGAAAGATATTTTCCTGTAGAGGTACAGAATCCCTTTATAAATTAAAATAGACTAACAATATTGAATTTGAAATGGGCCTTATGTGTTGCCATACGGGCGAAAAAAAAACGCGTAAGAAAAACCAAACAATAGAGAAAAGAGAAGTATAGTAACTTCGTGTTCGAAACCCACTGATTGTGCCAACATGTGTTACATATTATTATTTACATTAAAAATGTTTGGTCGAGTTTTCGGCCATGGGGTGACCTCTAGGAACCAATATAAAAATAAAATTTTCTTACGGAGATTTAACATGGGGCAAAATTTTAAAGCTTATGACAGCTAGCATACCATACTACTGGACCGAACTACACGCGGGTTGTAGCAAAAGAAAGGTTATCGGTCCTATATGTACAGGTTTTATTTGTATTTTGAAAATATTTATGTTAATTGGGTTAAAAATGGAAATTAAACATTCTTTATGGAGATTTAACATGTTGCCAAATTTGTAATCTTACGACAGCCATACTACTGGACCAATTTACAGGCAGGTTGTACCAAAAGAATGGTTATAGGTCCTATACGTGCAGGTTTTAGCGAATTTCCCTATAGGGAAGTAGCTATTACCGTAGGTGGCACGGTAAGACCTAGACCCGGGACCGATTTACTTTTTCATTTTGATGTCCCCAGAGGCCAAAAACACCATTCGTTCAAATTTTTATATATGTATATATATATATATATATAGACTTATATATATATATATATATATATATTATACGTCCGTGAACGCGATAACTTGAGTAATTTTTGTCCGATTTTGATGAAATTTGGTTTAAAGGTGTAAAGCGGGATAAACTTGAATGAGTTCGCGAACCAGCACGATCGGACCATGGGAACGGGGCTTTACGGGGGGTTTTATGGGGTAAAAATTGGTTTTTCTCACTTTTGACCCTCAAAACACAAAATTTCCCGATTTCTCTTTAGACCTTTTTAAAGAGCTTAAAAAAAAAAAATTTAGTATATAAAAGTATTTTTGTTCAATTATAGTAACGGAGAAAATTAAAAAAATTGTAAATTTAAAATTCCCATGTTATTCTTATGGAGAATATTGTCAAATGTTGTAGTTTGCTTGTTAATGGATATATTTTGATCAAACTTGGCAAATTTATTTATTTTGTACTAAGCTATCAATATTTTACTCAAAACACACTTTATTAGTTTCCTTGTAGCAGCAAACCTAGGTACTCGTTAAACCTGATGTTATTAAAATATATTTAACTGAAAATCAATTCCGACAAATGGAAATTCGCTTAGTCGGCAGGTTTGCTGCGGCGGGGGTATATTATTTGTATTTAGAGAATATTTATGTTAATTGGGTCAAAAATGGATGTTTTATCGAAAACTATTTTTCTCAGCTCCTGTGCATCGCAGAGAAGGCGCAGATCTATATTTTGCCTGTAGATGTGCAGAATCCTTTTATAAATTAAAATAGGCCCAAAATAAGCACAAAAAGTGAGTTAAAAATTTTAAAAATTAACATGAGCCTTAAAGGGTTGCCATGTTGGTGACGAAATAACAACAAAATATAAACAGAAAAATCCATTCACATGTTTTATTTATAGCGTGGGGTGAAAATAGGGGAGTTTGCACAATACATACTTTTGGTCGAGTTTTCGACCACTGGGCGAGCTCTAGTTAATTTAAACTTGTTTTATCATTCTAATCACATGTCACAGCAAGTAAACCCGCTCAAGGAATCCAAGTAGCTATCAGGTTAACCGTGGTATTGTCCCTTTACATTAGATAGAGTTTATTTATGATTTTAGCAGATTTTACTGGAAAGGAGATTTAACGATTTATTTAAGAATGCAGTCGTTTTTTTATACGCGTAGGTATTACCTTAGCAGTTATCTGTAGTTCACCACTGATCCTAGGTTATTTTAAATGGCTTTTTCTAAACTCCTTTAACCATATCTTCAACTTTAACAAAACTAAATCCGGAATGAACTGGTTTTAATAAGGGCGTTGATGTGGCAATGGAAGAACGATTGAATGATTAATCCAGATGCTTTGAGCCCAGCTATTTTATTGTGTCAGACATGATTGACCTCTGGACCCAAACGACTGAGCACATCCGAGGTTTATAGAGTGTAAATTTTACCATCTCGATAGTAACACCTTATAATTCATTTTGCCTTACTTAAATAAAATTCTAAAGTTGTTATAATTTAAAGCAATAACACTTAGGAGTGTGTTGCATACGTTTGTTTGTACAGTAGTGAGCACAGAATGGTGACTTGACGTATCTACGTTCACATTGTCAAAGACTGTTTGCCCTGTCACCCAACATGCATTCACTTCCACTCCACGACTTTACTCGATCCCTCTACCTATAAGAATACCAGAAATGTCAGATAAATATAATGGATCGATTACTTCAAAAGGCGCAAAACGCCATATTATTGTAGAGCTTATTCTTTTTATCTCAAACAATAAACCACAGGTTCCCAATAAATCACCAAATAAACCTCAAGTGGCAATCCGCGTGAAAGTCTATTTATATGCACATATTCCAGGCTGCTTAAAGTGTATTGATTCAATAAATGTAGTACCATCGTTAAAGTAAAAGAGTTGGAACAAAACATACGGTATTTAAAATCTAATGCCATTTTATGTTTGGACTACTGTACTGTACTTCGGGAATATCATCAGTAGTTTTTTTTTATATTTTACCACCTTTTCGATAATCAATAAAATACACTATAACCCGCTATTTTAGTGTATTTCCGAATGTGGTACTTATGCATGCATGTGCATTACCAAATCAATTGAACCAGATTATTATTTTCATTATCGTCTATCAATAAGCTAACCATCGGATATTCGGCATCCAATGAAGAATTACTAAGTTATAGCACTATAATAATGATAAATATATATTTAAAGATTACTAGCCTATATTAAAATACAAACCACACACTTATTGAGTGTGTGGCTAAATATCAGCAGTAAATATATCTATAGTTATTTGTTACAATAAGTAAAATGTTTTGTAATTTCAATTTTAACGGGTAGAGCTGAACATAAAGTTGTCTATTCAACGATTTAATAGGAACAATTTTGGTTGTCACGAAAATGTGTAGCTGGTTATTCGGGATCTGATTGTACATAGCAAAATAAATTACAAATGTGCAGTAAGTTATTTGTGATTTTTGTCTTAGTTTAGCCGCTTGTCCCAGTTAAAATGTCATTGGGTTTGGACTAACAAGTGCTTAAATTTATGTTGTGTGTATTTTTGGATTTAGCTTTTATTTGTGTAATTTGACTTTAAATCTTGAAACTTCTACTTTTAATCTTTAAATTGCTGCCATTTTGAAATTTTATAAATTATAGTTGCCATAACTTTAATATTTTTTGTTGTTTACAAAATGGTGGATATTGGCAAAGCTAAGCCGAAATAAAAAATACATTACCGGACATTTATGATATTTTTGGTATGTACAATTGGATCTTGCATAGCCCGATTCGCATTTTTGCGACACCATATATTTTTAAGTTTTCATCTATGATTGATTTAGAGTTTATTTTAATTACTTTTCACACAACTAATTCCAGGAATCGTGGTTTCTCAGCTGAAAATCTTGTTACAGATCCATGCGTATAGCACAGAATACGTATTAAGGTTATTTTATACCAACACATGTCATCAATAGAAACTTAAAATAAATTCAGAACAGATTAAGAAATATTTTGGTAATCTCACAGTTTGTTTTAAGATTGAAGTTCTAAATTACTGGCTTCTGGCTTCTGACTTATTGACAAAAACAATTATAACTTGAGGCCTGAAGTCGTACCCAGCAGTATATGCCCTATGGAATTCATCTGCACACCTTCCTCTTCAGAAGTGAACACAGCTATCAAATCACGGAGCTGTGTATAACATAATGCTGTCAATCACCCATCACTTACCCATGGCCGCAGCAGGAGCCTGTTTGCCAGTAGGGCCAACATACTGTGGAGGTGGTGGTTTGGTCTTGCTCTCAGCAGATACCAGCAACACACTCAGCACACTCAGTGCGATCAGCAGCGATGTATACATGTTGCAGGCCTACAGAGACACTGGCCAGCCTGGCCCACATACATACAATCATCGGCCACTGATAATACTCATCAGCATGCAGAGAGGTCGCATATACACAGGTAGCCGCTGATAGTAGATACATGTGTAACTGTCACCCATGAATCATCCCACCCGAGACTAAATAAACACATGAACCAATTGTCTGTGTAATTAATGCTGTTGTCGAATATAAAACAATTAATTGAATTATTGATAATATGCACCTTCATATTCCTATTCGTATGTTCTGAACATGTATCACCTAGCTCCTTTACGATCAAATAAACTGTGGGAATCAGCTATTAAACTGAAGTAAATTAAAATACAAATCTGTTCAATGTCAGGTTACCTTCACCAACCTACACTTATTAAATGTAAAAGATTTAAAAAAAAGAATGATTTCTATTTTGTTTTATTACTAATTTAAATGTAGGGCATTTTTATATTTAATTACCTTTGCTACAGTAACAATCCAAAAACTAAAGATAATTTACCATTCCTGTTTGTTACTGACTTTTGACTCGACGCCTAGACTGTAATATAAATACATTTATAAGTGTTGTATACGGAATGTAATCAAACTCTGACGGATTTTGTTGAATTTATCATGCTAGTAATTATTAGTAGTACTTATTAAACTAATGTAATATGTACAATCACCTTAACACTGGATAACGTCCGAGCTTCTAATCCTATGTATGCTTGTAAGCAAGGGATCTGTCGTGGGACGCTTGTTGCATCTCCTTTGATATTTTTGAGTACATTTTAGTTGTTTTATGGATTTAAAGTAATGGCATTTCCACTAAAACATCAGTTAGCAATCTCCAGGAAAAGCGTTAAAGAAAAGCTATTTATAATGTTAATTTGACCTTTAAAGAATCTCTAAATTAGTTTGAAACTCATTTTAAAGCTGCTAGTCACGCGAGTAAAGTTTAACAGAGAAGATTCAGTACATTTCAGTACTATAATCCTACACATTCATTACCGTTGAGAAATCCATGTTTAAAAATTGGTCAGGTGTGTTTAATCAGGAATATTTTAATTTTAAATATGTACAAAATTTGCACGCATTATAAAATATAGTGTTGGATTTTTAAATGTATACAACCATAGATATAATCTATGATACAACCCACTTGTTTTGTAACTAAAAAATGCCGAAGTGCTTTAATTTAATGAAGTACTCAAGTACAGGGCGTTTATAAAAGAATCATCAGGTTTCAAAACATTTTATTGACGCTAATGTTAAACAAATGCGGTTATAAAACATATCAACATTAAGGAGAACTCTTAAATTTTTATAGATACCCCTACAACTTGTCAATGTGCCGTCAATTAGCCGTGGAGCAAGTTTCCAAACTATGCTGTAAATTGTCCTATACCCTGGCTAGCATCGCTAGGTTGATTGATCTACACGGCATTTCGAATTCGTCCACGGAACTCGAGGCATTGGTGGTATATAAACTTTGTCTTTTACATAGCCCCATGGAAAAAAATCACACGCCGAAAGATCAGGGGATCTAGGGGAGCATTTGAGAAGGTTAAAGTCATTATCGTTACATTTGCCAATCCACCTCAGTTTTTAAGAGAACTCTTGCGCGGCCACTGATTTTACTTTTTAATACACTTCCAGAGTTCTTAGACTGTCGATACCACCTTAAAATGCTTTGTTGTGTAGGAGGAATCTGTCTAAAATGCCCCCGAAACTCACGCTGGGCAGTTATTAAAGATAAACTTGAGTCATAATGAAAAACACAAAATGTTTTTTTTCTGAAATTTTAATCATTTTGAAAACTATGCAAACACGTCCAAGAAAAAACCAAGACTTGTTATTGAACAGCTGATTATAAAACTTGAAAACATGCTTATTAAGCACATGTTTCAAATATTAATGTGGGACATGAATTGGGTGAGGTACACGCCATTAAAACCTGATGATTCTTTTATAAACGCCCTGTACTTTGAGTGCAACAATAACTATCTTTTAAAATCTACAAAAAAGTTACATCACTTACATGTTACATTATTTGTTCATGTAGCATCTAACCAACCCAGACCCGATTGTGCAGTTCTCATTGTCACTCAATGATGACACCTCGTAACTAGGCTCCATTACAATTGTACCAGCGACACTTCCACCGCACTGAACACAAGGTTGGTTCCATGTTTCACGTAATGTTTATTCACATAGATAGATAAGATCTGAAGTACACAACGTCACCTCGAAGTGTTCCAGCGCCATCTAGTACCTGATATGGTGATACACTACCACAATATTCAGGTAAGATACATCTGGCTTTAGCTTATCACTAGATTCGTAAAGTTTATCAATTCTTGATATGTGTAACAAGATAATAATATTCAAACAGATAAATTCAAATCGGTGTTTCATACCGTGTGCTGTTCATGGGTGACCTTGAAATTTTACCCTGGCCTAGTTTTCATATAGTTTAAAAATCGCACTATTGTGAAAGCGTACTAGATATCTTTTGTTACCATAAAAAAATCGTTACCTTAGTGAAAACCTGTGAAGTGACGCTTTCAATTTCAACTTTTCGTATTTTCCTAATTTTTATTATTTTAAAATAAATAAAATAGTGTTAAAGAATAAAGCATTGAATACCCATGTTAACGGTAAAGACCAGCTGTTTCTTTAGAATAGAAAGTAATTATCAAACATTTATTTAGAAACACTGGGAAATTATTTAAGAGCTCCAGAGAGAGGGAGAGAGCTTAGACTCATATTACAGCGATTATATACCTAATGAGCTTCCCTATTTAAAAGATAAATTTGTTGCATAAAAGGTTGAACAGTATTATATTTACCTAATTAATTACGAGTTAAAAAGGACTCAAGAGCTTCAACAATTTATAGAGCACCAAAGTTTATACACTTCAAAAATTGATGAAAAGCTGATTTAGGTAAAGTGTGTTGGTTTTGCTTTTGTACAGTAAATCCAGTGTTTACTTAATGCATAAGGTAAAGTTGGTGAGTTTATTTGTTTTGTTGCTGAACACCTTTCATAAAAAAACTCGTCTATACTTTCCGTCTAAGCTAAGTAACTTTTGAAAGAAAGTATAAAGTAGGTCATGAACAGAAGAAGTATAGTTATTTACTTTCTCAATTTATAGACGAGCTAGATAAGTGACTTCTAGCTGGATTGCTGGTGCGGGGTCCTAAAATCTTAAAGATTTGAGTGAGGAATGTGGCATTTAATAATTTAAAACCCCCCTACCACTCCGAAATATATAGAAATCCCCATTTAATTTTTACGTATAACGTACACTTGTGTTATTGTGTTTTCTACTAAAAATTTACTAGAGACTTTAAACATCAAGTTTTTTATTGGTATTGTAATTTTATATGTTTCTCTCAATGAATCTATGAAACTATTTGAGGAATTGTCACTCCCCCCCAAAAATCTGGAAAATCGAAATGTAATTCCTAATTACTAAGGTCTGATACTTAAAAAGTTTCAACCTACATTATTACGCACACAATACAAAGTAAATATTTGAAAAAAAATACATTATAAAACTGAAACACGCATACAAAAATACCATACAAGAACTTAGTATGCATGGATACCCTATTTAATAACAATACTAGTTGCTTGTACATAAATCACTGATAATATCAGTGATATTGTCACCAATAATCATAGTGATATTGTCGAAATTAGTCGACATTAAACAATATATTGCCTTAACACCAGCAGCTTCAACCTTAGCCACATTCAATATCTCTACTTACTACATACTACTACATACTACATACTACTCTACTTACTACTACACGGTATCAGTTTCAGCCGTGTATCGCGGTGTGATGCTGACGACGTCATAGAGACGCTGATGCCACTTTGTCTGCTGATGGCGACGGTCCTCAGCAAACCTCTAGTTATATATCTATACTTACTAAGTACTTACATAATACCAATTTCAGCCGTGTATCGCAGTGTGATGCTGACGACGACATAGAGATGCTGATGCGGCTGATGCCACTTTGTCTGCTGATGGCGACGGCCATCAGCAAACCTCTGGTTATAAATCTCTACATACTAAATACTTACATAATACCAATTTCAGCCGTGTATCGCAGTGTGATGCTGACGTCATAGAGATGCTGATACGGCTGTTGTCACTTTGACTGCTGATGGCACTGGTCCTCAACAAACCTCTGGTTATAAATTTTTACTTACTAAATACTTACATATTACCAATTGCAGCCGTGTATCGCAGTGTGATGCTGACGACATAGAGATGCTGATGCGGCTGATGCCACTTTGTCTGCTGATGGCACCGGTCCTCAGCAAACCTCTGGTTATAAATTTTTACTTACTAAATACTTACATATTACCAATTGCAGCCGTGTATCGCAGTGTGATGCTGACGACATAGAGATGCTGATGCGGCTGATGCCACTTTGTCTGATGATGGCACCGGTCCTCAGCAAACCTCTGGTTATAAATTTTTACTTACTAAATACTTACATATTACCAATTGCAGCCGTGTATCGCAGTGTGATGCTGACGACATAGAGATGCTGATGCGGCTGCTGATGGCACCGGTCCTCAGCAAACCTCTGGTTATAAATTTTTACTTACTAAATACTTACATATTACCAATTGCAGCCGTGTATCGCAGTGTGATGCTGACGACATAGAGATGCTGATGCGGCTGATGCCACTTTGTCTGATGATGGCACCGGTCCTCAGCAAACCTCTGGTTATAAATTTTTACTTACTAAATACTTACATATTACCAATTGCAGCCGTGTATCGCAGTGTGATGCTGACGACATAGAGATGCTGATGCGGCTGATACCACTGTGTCTGCTGATGGCACCGGTCCTCAGCAAACCTCTGGTTATAAATTTTTACTTACTAAATACTTACATATTACCAATTGCAGCCGTGTATCGCAGTGTGATGCTGACGACATAGAGATGCTGGATGCGGCTGCTGATGCCACTTTGT